CGAAACCTATATAGGAAACTATATGGGAAACTATATTGTTTCCCATATAGTTTCCTATATAGGAAGCTATATATAGCTATATATAGCGTCAATAACACAGGCACACAAAAAATAAAAAGCTGTTTGGCCGAGACACTACACTAGTCTATTTCCATGTATTTTTTCACGCTGAATCCGAATCCGAAGTCAGAATTATCAGATTGGCTTTTATTTTTGAGATAAACTCAAAAAACTGCTCAGAAAGAAAAATAAAATCAAAAAGTTAAAAAAATTTTTAATGTCACTGCCATAGTGTAATTCCATGTATTTTTTGTCGCTGCATCCGAATCTAAAGTCAGAATTGTTAGATTCACTCAAATTTTTGAGATAATTGCAAAAAAACGCAAGTAAGAAAAAACTCAAAATACTCAAAATAAGTTTTTTCGAATTATCTTCAAAATTTGAGCCAATCTGTCAATTCTGACTTCAAATTCTGATTCAGCATGAAAGAATACATGAAAATGCACTATCGTAGTGTTTCGGCAAAAAAAAATTTCTTTGAGCTAAAATCGCCAAAAACTGATAAAAATTCTGAATTAGGGGCACAGATAATTTTTTTGCCGAAACACTACGACAGTGCATTTTCATGTATTTTTTCACGCTGAATCAGAATTCGAAGTCAGAATTGACAGATTGGCTCAAATTTTCAAGATAATTCCAAAAAACTGATTTTGAGTATTTTGAGTTTTTTGTTACTTGCATTTTTTTGCAATTATCCCAAAAATTTGAGCGAATCTAACAATTCTGACTTTGGATTCGGATTCAGTGACAAAAAATACATGGAATTACACTATGGCAGTGACATTAAAAATTTTTTTAACTTTTTGATTTTATTTTTCTTTCTGAGCAGTTTTTTGAGTTTATCTCAAGAATAAAAGCCAATCTGGTAATTCTGACTTCGGATTCGGATTCAGCGTGAAAAAATACATGAAAATAGACTAGTGTAGTGTCTCGGCCAAACCACATTTTAATTTTTGTGTGCCTGTGTAATATAAAAAAAAAAAATTCTGCCGACGTGTTGACTCTGAGACACGAACCCTCGACCATCATAGCTCTCAACCGCACTGGGAGCGCCTTAATGGGCTCGACCAGGGGAGGCTATGAAATATCTTGAGAAAATGTTTCTTATAACGAAAATACTTTAAACAGATACTTATATTATTTTGTAAAGTCATCAAACAGTTTTTCAGATGTTTATTATTACAAAGAGTATAATATTGTATACATATATTTTTTTCCAATTGTATATGCGTTTTAATACCCAATTTTATATTCGGAGTTTATTAACTTCAACATTTTAATTTAGAATGACATGAATTTAAATTTTAATCAAGTGAACTCTGCATAAATTTCAATTTTTTTGGAAATAAATTAAGTAACAATGTTCGTATAGCAAATTTTTTTTAATAAACTAATGTAATTTGTATAATGCTAATACTTAATTACAACTCACTTTAAACCAGAATTTTCTTATATGAAATTAATGTGATCAAACATAAATTATTACATAACTACAATTCAATAATTATTTTTTTTTAAACAAGGAAAATAAGTTACATTGACAGAATTCTCAAGTTTTTAAAAGTTCCAAAAAAAGTTATCAAGCAACAAAAATTTACGCACAATTTTATTAAACATTTCGTCGGTTTTTACCATAATAATCAAATTTGCTTCAATTTTCATTAACATTTTCATAATTAACGCACCAAAATACGTTAGTATACCAAGTTTTATTAAAATTGGAGGTACCCCTAATATTATAGTGTTTAAAAATAATAAAATTGTGCGTACATTTTTGTTGCTTGATAACTTTTTTTTGGAACTTTTAAAAACTTGAGAATTCTGTCAATGTAACTTATTTTCCTTGTTTAAAAAAAAATAATTATTGAATTGTAGTTATGTAATAATTTATGTTTGATCACATTAATTTCATATAAGAAAATTCTGGTTTAAAGTGAGTTGTAATTAAGTATTAGCATTATACAAATTACATTAGTTTATTAAAAAAAATTTGCTATACGAACATTGTTACTTAATTTATTTCCAAAAAAATTGAAATTTATGCAGAGTTCACTTGATTAAAATTTAAATTCATGTCATTCTAAATTAAAATGTTGAAGTTAATAAACTCCGAATATAAAATTGGGTATTAAAACGCATATACCATTGGAAAAAAATATATGTATACAATAATATACTCTTTGTAATAATAAACATCTGAAAAACTGTTTGATGACTTTACAAAATAATATAAGTATCTGTTTAAAGTATTTTCGTTATAAGAGACATTTTCTCAAGATATTTCATAGCCTTCCCTGGTCGAGCCCATTAAGGCGCTCCCAGTGCGGTTGAGAGCTATGATGGTCGAGGGTTCGTGTCTCAGAGTCAACACGTCGGAAGAATTTTTTTTTTATATTATTGACGCTATATATAGCTTCCTATATAGGAAACTATATGGGAAAAAATATAGTTTCCCATATAGTTTCCTATATAGGTTTCGATAACGGAATTTTCGATAGGGGTACCAAATATGTAATTTAAAGATTCAGTACAGTTTTGCGCTAAACCTGTACTAAATATGTAATTTAAAGATTCAGTACAGTTTTACGCTAAACCTGTACTAAATACGTAATTTAAAGATTCAGTACAGTTTTACGCTAAACATTTACTCAATTGCGGACATTTACATATTTACACAACCTGTGCTAAGCTTTACGGTAAATTTTTCCAACTTGGCACGCACAGCTTTAATACAGGTTTAGGAAACTTTCGGTGCTGTGTGGGTGATAGACAAGTGATCCTACTTATCGACTCAAAAGGGCGGGCTAATTTAAAAAGGTTTTCACGGAGATATTTGAATATTCCAAATACTTACATTGTAGGTGAATATAAAATTTGAATGTGTATCGAAATAATACTGTAAAATATTTTTATATAACTGAAGGTCACATGAAAGGATTATTATAAAATTAATTAATTTTTTAAATATTATTTACTAATTAATAATTTACAAATTGGTGGAAATAAATTTCAAAATTTTTTATTTATTAATAAACAATTCTTTTAGTTTTTTTATAGCCAAAAAAGGCTTTTTAAAAATAATTAAGGAAACAATTTCAATATATTAAAATAAAAAATGAAAGTGAACATAAAAATTCTATTTTCTAAACATTTAAATCAAAATTATTATTTACAATCTATTAATTTATTATAATTGAAAAATTTATTAATTAATTAAAAATTAATTTTTAAATTTTTTTCGTTTTGCAAAAAATTTAATTAATTTTTTAAAGTGGAGAAAAATTTTTTGTTAAAATTAATAAAGTAAACAAATTAAATACATTAAAATAGAAATAGAACAAGTAAATGAAACAAGTAATATAAACACATTAAACAAAATTTAATTTTCAGTTATAAAAAAAGGATTACCTAATGTAAAATAATATACCCAAGTAGCACGATATATCAACCAGATGTCACGGTGATATCACTGGGGAATGTCACCGTGACATCAGGAAAATGTCAAAATGTCCGCCTGACGGTGATATCACACGGTGACATCGAGGTGATATCATGGTGACATCAAGGTGATATCATGGTGACATCAAGGTGATATCATGGTGATATCACCGTGATATCATGTTGATATTTTACAAGGACTTAAAATTTTTAAAAAATTATTATTATTTTTTTTTTTATTATTTTTATTATTTTTTTATTTATTATTATTTTTTAAATTATTAAAAATTTCAAGTCCCTGTAAAATATCAACATGATATCACGGTGATATCACCATGATATCACCGTGATATGACTGTGATATCACCTTGATGTCACCATGATATCACCGTAAGGCGGACATTTTGACATTTTCCTGATGTCACGGTGACATTCCCCGGTGATATCACCGTGACATCTGGTTGATATATCGTGCTACTTGGGTATTATGTGATACTGATAGATCTTCACATGTAAATATTTTTATTTGTCAGTGGTATTTTTCTAATTCAAATTTATAGTGCATTTTTTATAATTGACATAGATTGAAAACATAATTTAGCTAGTTCTATTATTTTTTAATATATTATTTTACATTAGGTAATCCTTTTTTTATAATTGAAAATTAAATTTTGTTTAATGTGTTTATATTACTTGTTTTATTTACTTGTTCTATTTCTATTTTAATGTATTTAATTTGTTTACTTCATTAATTTTAACAAACAATTTTTCTCCACTTTAAAAAATTAATTAAATCTTTCTTAAAACGAAAAAAATTTAAAAATTAATTTTTAATTAATTAATAAATTTTTCAATTATAATAAATAAATAAATTGTAAATAATAATTTTGATTTAAATGTTTAGAAAATAGAATTTATATGTTCACTTTCATTTTTTATTTTAATATATTGAAATTGTTTCCTTAATTATTTTTAAAAAGCCTTTTTTGGCTATAAAACACTAATAGAATTGTTTATTAATAAATAAAAAATTTTGAAATTAATTTCCACCAATTTGTAAATTTTTAATTAGTAAATAATATTTAAAAAATTAATTAATTTTATAATAATCCTTTCATATGACCTTCAGTTATATAAAAATATTTTACAGTATTATTTCGACACACTTTCAAATTTTATATTCATCTACAATGTAAATATTTGGAATATTGAAATATCTCCGTGAAAACCTTTTTAAATTAGCCCGCCCTTTTGAGTCGATAAGTAGGATCACTTGTCTATCAGTAAGTTGTAGAGTGTGTGGAAGATTTTTTTTTCCAGCCAGGTATCTGTAGTGTAGTGGATAGGGTCTTTAGCTAGCGCGCGGCGAACGTAGGTTCAATCCCCAGCACACCCCAATTTGTTTTCAAAAATTGTTGTTTATCAAGCATGCAATACTTGATTCAATGTGAAACAAAGCATTAAAGCAGTGCAACGATGTTGACAATATACCATAATGTTACCTTAAAATATTCAACTCCAGTCAATTCTAAAAGTTCTTGAGTACTTAAGAAATGTTGTGGTATCTTCTGATGATCAAATCTCTGATCAGCATTACTATTGTCCATATACCAAATATTAACCATTTTACTTTTACTTGCTTACAATTCTCACGGAAAATTAAAATTTGAAGAAACAGTGCTCAGTTATTTTTACACATCCAACTATTTTGATTCTTTGATGCAAATTCTAACTTTTTATAACATAAATAGTCATGTAAACATAGCCTTAAAGGTAAGCATAGGATATGGGTTACATCACATGGTCTATTTTCGGCGGTCGCCTTGGCTGTTTCTGAATTGAGATTTTTAGCGCATACTTGATAAAGTGTATTAAGGCATTTCTTCAATATGTTCCAAAATGATTTCGTTACGTGACTGACGCGTTGGTTCGCAAGCGCAGTGACGTCATCAAAGCATTGATACCAATCTCGAACAAAACGTTTGGTATATGTTCCTCTTATCCCTGTTTTCCAACATTACAATTTTTAATGCAAATGTTTCTCGACAGCTTTTAATAATTTTAATTACACAGGCACACAAAAAAAAGATGTCTGTTTCTTGAACTAGACATACCATTCCTATAGTATTTTGGCCCGCTGAAAACGAATTTGAAGTCAGAATTGCTCCATCACCCTCTAATTTTTTTTAAATCGAAAAAAATCACCCTTAACCGGAAAAATTCAAACTTAGGGGATAAAAAAAATAAATAACAGATTTTTTTAATTAACAGAACCTTACACCTTATCTTATTTTTGCTCAACTGACTCAAAAACAAAGCAGAACTGATCTAGCACCCTCTGATTTTTTTCAAATCGAAAAAACCACCCTTAATCGGAAAAATTCAAACTTAGGAGATAAAAAATTAATTAACAAATGTTTTTTTTAAACAAAACCTTACACCTACGTATTTTTGCCTGAGTAACACAAAAAGAATGCCAGAACTGATCCAGCACCCTTTTAATTTTTTTTCAATCGAAAAAGCCACCCTTCATGGGACAAACTCAAACTTAGAAGTATTACAAAAGTATCAATCTTTTTGGCATGATGGTTTCTTCCGTATCAGATGTAAAGAAAATTTTATTTGTACTTGCTTTCAATTTTTCTCCCAACGAAATAGCTAAATTTGAATTTCTACGATTAAGGGTGGTTTTTTTCGTTTAAAAAAAATCTGAGGGTTGATGGATCAGTTCTGATTTTATTTTTGTGTTAGTGGTGCAAAAGAACGTAGGTGTAAAGTACTGTTTATTAAAAAATCTGTTATTTAATTTTTTTTATGTCCTAAGTTGAATTTGTCCGATTAAGGGTGAATTGTTTCGAGTTGAAAAAAATCAGAGGATTCTGAATAAGTTCTGGCTTTTTTTTGTGTTATTCTAGCAAAAATACGTAGGTATAAGGTTTTGTTTTTAAAAAAACATTTATTATTTAATTTTTTTATTTCCTAAGTTTGAATTTGTCCGATTAAGGGTGAATTATTTTGAGTTGAAAAAAATGAGACGGTGCTAGATCAGTTCTGGTTTTGTTTTTAAGTTAGTGGCATAGAGATATAAGAATAGAGTGCGCAAGCCTGTACAATTTCCAAGTTACGCTGAGACAAACCAATAGAAGAAGACAGATGCAACTAGTGGGCCCTGCCTTCATATAATCTGTCGTTTTTTCGAGCCTCTTGCGCACTCTATTCTTATATCTCTATGGTTAGTGGAGCAAAAATAAGGTAAGATGTAAGGTTCTGTTTATTAAAAAAATCTGTTATTTAATTATTTTATCTCCTAAGATTAAATTTGTCCGATTAAGGGTGGCTTTTTCGATTTAAAAAAAATTCAGAGGGTGCTGGATCAGTTATGGCTTTGTGTTTGAGTTAGTGGAGCCAAAATACGTAGTTGTAAGGTTCTGTTTAATAAAAAAATCTGTTATTAATTTTTTTATCCCCTAAGTTTGAATTTGTCCGGTTAAGGGTGGTTCTTTCGATTTAAAAAAAATTAGAGGGTAATGAAGCAATTCTGACTTCATATTCGTATTCAGCGGGTTAAAATACTATAGGAATGGTATGTCTATAGTTCAAGAAACAAACAACTTTTTTTTTGTTTACCTGTGTTATTTAATATTTGTTCGTGATTGGTATCAATGTTTTGATGACGTCACTGCGCTTGCCAAACAACGCGTCAGTCACGCAACGCAAACATTTAGGAACATATTAGAAAAAGGCCTTTATAGGAAAGTATGCATACTTTACGGAAGCCCCTACGGCTCACCAGCGTCTCAGACGCAAGTGGCGATATTTTGTACCACTAGTGGCACGGAGTTCGTCTAACTAGAGGAAAGTTGTTTACTTCGTGTCACTCGTTGTTCCTACTCTGAACTAGTAGAAAGTGGATTTTTTAAAGAGTTCATCACAAAGTAGTATTTCCGTTAGATCTGTTTCAAAATATTTTACCAGCACATGCATCTTTTTTAATAATAACCACACTAATGTTACACTTGAAGAAGAATTTTAGTTTTTTTACTTTAAAATTTTATTTATTTGTGGCTCTCGTAGATTTTTATGTTGTCTTTCGTATAGAGTATTTTACAACTTAAAAAATGAGTCAGTCAATGATAAAAGTGAGAGATGGAAGAAATTGCATTAACTTGAAGCCAGATAAAAACACAGTTCATGAAAAAACTATAAGTAATTATTTTCTTAATATGAGTGGTTTAATTTATTATAATTCAAAGAATAATAATAATAATTTTATTTGTTTTAAATCTTCAGATTTATACAAAGGAGTTTAGCATTACGTTTTATGTATATTACAATAGGAATAGAATTATATTACATCACTTATAATCATTATCGAGGAGTTACCTCTGTGCTTAACACTTCATTAGTAAAAACCACTACCTTTTTCACAAAGTTTTTATCTAAGTTATTCAATGCATCCATCCAGTCATTTCTTATGTCACATGTTTGTGATTTTTCACTTATACTCTGTCTAATCAACGAAAACCTTGAACATTTTACCAAAACGTGATATAATAAATCATCAAACTCATATAATATCTGGCAGCAAAAATCACAGTAATCATTATGACTAACGTTAAAGGAGCTTCCTTCCATTTTAATTATGGGTTGATATATATTAAATAATCTTAGCTGTGCAATCAGTCTACCATGTCTGAGAGGAATGTCCCTTAATGAGAGGTATTTTTGGGGTCCTTATATAAGATCAGAAGTCAATTGCGGATAAAGGGGGAGTGAGGAAGAATCATGGGCCATTTTTAAATCAATTTCTCTCATTCTAATTTTTTAATTATTTATCCATTTTTTTTTATTTTTTTGTATAGACTGCACTGTAAGATTCTCCCATTCTTCTTCCTCTCCTATCTCCACAAAAAAATCCCTGACTTGCTGTGCCCAATTAAACTTTTTTATAATTCAAAGAATGAAATGTGTATACTCGAAGTCTTCAGTGACATGTTCCAATTAATTCCAGCAGTAATAGAATACGAAGTATTTAATGTAAATTCCTCGAAACGTAATATATAATTATATTACTGATTTATTGAGTTAATTTTTTTGTTTAAAATTTTTTTACTAAATCTTAAGAAAATTTCGCTTATTTTCATAGACAAATAGGTAATCATATTTGCAAAACGATGCATTTTTTAAAAGTCGATTAATTGAAGTTATAGATAATTTATTTATATAAAAAATAAGCCATAGTAAACAAAAATTGTCAGTTCTACAAATTGGTATTAATAGCTACTTGCGAAAAAAGTTTATTAATTCATTAAAATTTAGTATAATTTACACGGTTGTTACCAAAATTTGAATTTGTTTTTCTTGACTTTTCCCTGATTTCCAGACAGAATTTTGTCTTGTTTCGTAACCCAAATTCAAAATTTGAAATGATTTTCAATTTAAAAAAAATTAAACAGGAATTTTTAAAAATCTGACTTTTCCCTGATTTTCATATCCTGTGGAAACCCTGTTAATTCATTCTTAATAAAAATGAAAGTATTTTTAATGTTTTTTCTTCCTCGTGGAGGAAGCTTTGTAGTCCTTTCGTTTATAAAAAATTTTCAAAGTGGCGGAAACAAAATTTTTTTCTATATAGAAACATGTTATATGAGATTCTGATCAATTGTCCGGATGTAATGTTGTATGTATATGTGTGTGTATGTGTGGATCCCTTTTTTGTTTAGAAGATGACTTGAACAGGTTTTAATGGATTTAGATGAAATTTGATAGGCCCATTTATCATATTAATATCTCAAATCTGACCAAAGGATTTTAAAAAATACAAAAAAAAAAAATTTTATCGTCTTTTTCCATAATTTTTTTTAATCGAAAAAATTTTTAAATAGAAAAATTTAAGGTTATATATATAATAAAATCGTATTCCTTACGTCAAGACAAATCGATTGGTATATATAAAGTACAGTTTTAATTTAATTTTAAAGAATTAATGGAAGTTAAAAAATCAAAAATCCACATTTTGGCTATAAAATTTTGTGATTATTTAAACTTAAGTTTATAGATTAAATAATTGTATTCCTTACATAAAAACGAATCGATTGGTATATATAAAATTTAAATTTGAGGTAAATTTAATAAATTAATGAAAGTTAAAAAATAGAAAATACACATTTTAGCTGAAAAATTTTGTATTTATTTAAATTCAAGTTTAAATATAAAATAATTGTGTTCCTTGCATTGAAACAAACCGATATAATTGTAAATAATTATAAATTATATATTATTTTTCATTAATTTTTAGAAATTTCAGTTAAAATGTGAATTTTTGATTTTTTAACTTCCATTAATTCTTTAAATTTAACTCAAATCTATAGGTACTCAAATGTTTATATTATTATATTATTTTTGTATGTTTATTTCAATGTTAATGCTTTCTCCACGAGGAAGCAAATTTTTTTGCTGATCGTAAACAGGAAGCAAAATGTTCATGTAATGAACATCTGAATTTACAACTTGTTATTATAAATTTTATCATTTTTAGTACTTGTTATTAAAAAAACAAACCACTTAAAAGTAAACATTTAAAAAATTGTATATAAAAAATTTGATTTCAATAAAAAAATCATGATTTTTAACAGCCTTGATGTAAATAAATAAGGAAAACTGTCCATCTTATAACCAGTACGTAGAAAATGTTAAAGAATTTTGGAATTGGTCTCAGAAATTTTTTTAAAAATGTCATCGCTATTTGTTTTGAACGATTAAATAAAATTTTTTTTAAAGTTCACCTGTATAATAACCCCTTGGCAGTCGACAAGATTTTCACTGTTTTGGGCCAAAA